CTGACTTCAGATATTCTTTTGCATGGATTTACTTATCAAAAACATGAGAAAAAACATCTTTTGGCTGTGCTTAATAAGATCTTCATAAGGTGAGGTATCAAAGGCTGTCTGGAATGAGCCACTCTGTGGGACACAATCCTTCCCAAGCTCACCCCAGTCAGTTTGCAGAGGAGTCAGTGCAAAATGTGCTCCCACAGAAGAGATCTGACAGCAGCTCAGTGCTTGTAACTAGTGCCCATCCACTGATGGGGATGGTTTCCATCTTTCCTGTTTAACTATGCCTTTGCTAATTTTAAACTTGCATTTGGGTGGTTTTTATGCAGTTTCTCAATTTCTTAAAGATTCCATAGGATTTGCCTCTGACAGCAGGGTTTCCTTTTTTGTGGTCTCTCTTGTTCTCTCTTTTTCGCAATCAAAAAGCACTGGGTATAACTTGTACTGCCCTCAGATTTCAGAGCTTTGGGGCTAGAACAGTCCTGCAAGCTACCTAAACAGTAGCATCCTTTTGAGATGAATCTCACACTTGGATAAACCAAGTGGCAGAGACATTTCTCAATAGCTTTAAGAGACATGGTCCTTCTGCTGTCTGTCCAGTCAGTGCTACACATCCACCCAGTGCCCTTTCCAATTCCTGGGCTCACCCTACACATGATTTGGTTCTCACCTTATTTTGGTGAAAGACTAAATAAGGCATGGCTTTATTTTATTAGCTTAAAACATCCTTTTTATTCAATGAATCTTTCCAATAGCAAAGCAAATAATGTATCTCAACATTATTCCGAAAGTTTGAGGAGTTTTGTCTTATTCAAGGAGCTACAATTGCCTCTGTAATAATATCAATCACCAATCCTCATCTTCTACCAGCTCAAAGGGGCATCTCCACATGGCCCTCTCCAAGCCCTGCCATGTTCTTCTCTGGAGTGAAAATCTCACTCATTTTCCCATATTTACACTTTCCTTGACCTTTAGTGAAGGTGTGTGTGTGCAGGCATTTCCAGGAGACAGTAATTGCCTGACCCAGGCAGGCTGATGTCAGGCAAAATTAGGCAAGACCATGGCCTTGGTGGGCAGGAGTCAGTGTCTCACTAATTGCTAATTAATTACCTGGGCTGCAGGTGCAGCCTAGGGCTGGGGTTATTCTGGTGCCTGGCCCTGCACTGATCCCATGGGAATCCTGCTGCAGGTGGGATGATCTCCAGGTGTGAGATGCAGGTCCTTGAGCACAGCTTTGGCATCAAGGGCTGCAGAGCTGGGGCTGAGCTGGGGCTGGGCAGTCCTGACCCCACGAGTGGGGTCCTTGGGGAGCTCGGCTGCTTTGGTGCTGGGAGCCCAGCACTGGGGACAGACTGACACCACCGAGGGACTGGGGATGAGCTCTGGGCTGGGAGAAGCCCTGTGTGGGTGTGAGTGCTGTGTCTGAGCATGCCAGGCACAGAGCCAGCTCTCCATGGGCCCCCCAGCAGGGTGGGACAGCCCTGGCTGAGCCTGGAACAGCTGGAACAGCTGGAACAGCCCCACCAGGCTGCAGAACCCCATGGAGCTGGAACAGCCCAGCCAGGCTGCAGGGGCACAGAGCTGGAACAGCCCCTGCAGCTCCTGGGCTGCTGCTGCCACCCTGCCATGGCCATCCCACGCATTCCCTGCAAAGCTAGAGGGGGAGAGCAAGCAATAGCAGTGCCCAGAGGTGCTGCATCTGGAGATAACATCAACAGGGAGAGCCAGCCCCAACACAAACTATTTCCCAGAGGCAAATGGCAAAGGGAGACAGAGGGAGAAACAAGTACTGACAGTTTGCTGTAGGAGCTCAAAGGAAAAGTGGACAAAGCTAAAAGAACTGCAGCTCCTTGTCTGCATTTGATCCAGTTCAGAGCACCCACTGGTGCATGCAGATTTACTTCCCATGGCTGGTGGAGCTGGAGATGGTCATTTGGTAAGAAACATGGGATCTGAAATTTTGTGCCCTCCATGCTCTTACATTTTAGGAAAAGTCAGTCTGTAACACACCTAAAGTTTAAATCTGATGTAAAAAGTATGAGCTGCTGCATAATTCCTTCAAAGAAACAAATCCTGAAATAAAAGGTGAAGAATGCTTTAACACAGACAGAGTTTTTAAGGGAAGGGAGCTGCTTTTGACTCACAGAAACCAAGGAAAAGACTGTGGTCTGTGTCCCTACCCAGAGAATCCCATATTACAGGCACTGATTCATCAGAGGGTACTGGAATAATGTAATAGTATTAAAATACAACCATCCACATATTTTAATGTAAAACAAATAGTCCGAGCCCCTCTATCAGAGTACAACCATCAAATCACCCCTGCAGGTTTGCTTTTGCTGAGGCCAGGCAGTTCCAGTCCCACGCAGCCCCATTTCTGCAGGCTGTGGAGCCAGTTCAGCCCTGCTGGATTTGCAGGACACAGCCCTGAAAGCCCAGAGAGCAGGATGGGTTTGTGTGCAAGGACAGAAGCAACAAGAGCGGTGTGAGCCCCAGGTGGAGAGGGTGGGTTAGAGGAGGCAGGTCTGGAGGGGACACAGGTGAGGCAGATGTGCCAGGGAGATTCCAGCAGAGTTTGGAACCTCTGGCACCTCTGGCAAGAGCAGAGAGAAAGGGAGAGGGAGCCAGTAAACCTTAGGACAATACAGAAACAATAAATGGGAGAGAGAACAATAAGGCAGAACTTTCTCATCTGTGCGCTCCTTCCCCTTCCAGGTGTTTTTGGACCTCTAGGAAGGGCCCCTAGCACTGGGGCTCAGCTGGTGTTGCTCAAACTTCTGTTCAAAAGCCCTGAGTGCCCTTGGCCAGGCTTGGCTGAGAGCTGCAGAGCAGGGCCTGGCCAGGGCTGGGGCTGGGGCTGGGGTCCAGCCCAGAGCACAAGGCCACCCTGAGGAGCCCCATCCCTTCCTGAGCCCCCATCCCGTCCCAAGGAGCCCCATCCCTTCCCAAGGATCCCCATCCCTTCCCAAGGAGCCCCATCCCTTCCTGAGCCCCCATCCCTTCCCAAGGAGCCCCATCCCTTCCCAAGGATCCCCATCCCTTCCCAAGGAGCCCCATCCCTTCCTGAGCCCCCATCCCTTCCCAAGGAGCCCCATCCCTTCTCAAGGATCCCCATCCCTTCCTGAGGAGCCCCATCCCTTCCCAAGGATCCCCATCCCTTCCCAAGGAGCCCCATCCCTTCCCAAGGAGCCCCATCCCTTCCTGAGCCCCCATCCCTTCCCAAGGAGCCCCATCCCTTCCCAAGGAGCCCCATCCCTTCCCAAGGATCCCCATCCCTTCCCAAGGAGCTCCATCCCTCAGACCCTGCTGGCTCTGGATGGGTTGGAAATGAAACAAACCAAAAGGCAATTTTAGGCTACTTTTCACTCCGGGGCACAGCCCTGCCCGGGTAGGTGGCACACCATGTGTTGTGTGTTCCTCATGTGTTGTGTGTTCCTGTTCCAAGCCAATTTGGCGCATCCCCGTGGCAGATTGGAAATACTCTGTTGCAAGTTTGAACATCTTACCAGGATGTCAGGCCTTCTACAAGAGCAGTGATTGAATCAGGGTTGAGAAATGTATCCCTGGCTAGTTTCAATTTCAAAAAAGAGAGCTTTTAAAAAGGTACAAATGAGGCTAAAGGAATTTATGTTATTTTTCCGGTTTCTGTGCTATAACTCCTTTTCCATCTCCTCATCTATCTTCCAAGTGTCCTGCCTTATGAATGAGTGAGCAATAAAAGAAGTATGCAGTGGCTGAGAGAGAAACTCAAGATAACAAGATAAAGCCAAAGCTTGAGCAGAAGTTAAGATGTAGATCAGAATATGGAATTTTCTCACATCTGAGTTTTAGGGCAGTCATTAGATTGTTTGCATGAAAAGCTGATTTAAAATCAGCAGCACAAAATGTGACCTAGCATGTGCTGAGTTCACTTGTGTCAAAGGCTTGGACCTGTGCTTTTGGGGATTGTGATCCTGTCTTCAGACCACATGTGCTGACAATCTGCTCCTAGACTAAAATAAAAATAAAGCTATTTCATAGAACCAAAAAATTACAGAACCACGGAATGATTTGCATAGGAAGAGATATTAAATTTCATCTAATTCTGACCCTCCTTCCATGGGCAGGGACCTTCCTCTGGGTCAGTGCTCTGTCCTTGCCACCCCAGCTCACAGTGAGGATTTAGGCTTGAGGAGCTGGACCTGACTCCTTCAGTGCAGGCTGCTGTTGTCTGCTGAAAATGGCCAGTGAGAGTGCCTGCTGTTTCCAAACACCCCAAACTGAAGGGAGAGGCTGTAACAAAGGGTTAATTCCAATTTCCATATCACTGACCGGCTGCCCAGGTTTGGAGCTGCATGGATCAGCTGGGTTTTCTCAGGGGAAAAATGATGTGACCACTCCCTGAGCCCTGATAATCCCTCTGCCTGGGCTTTCCAGTGCTGGGCTCTGCCAGGCTAGGCAGAGTTTCATCATCAAAATTATTGTGGCCTCTTTCAAGTACAAGACAGTGGGAAATTAATTGCTGGAATTAGGTGTGTTTGCTTGCGTTATCCCAACATCACTGCTGCTTGGGGTCAGCTGCAGGGCCCAGGACGCAGAGCTGGGACTAAGCTGGACTCCGGTTTTATTTGGCAAAGACTGGGCTGGTAAACAGCAGGAGGAGATACAGGGACAGAGTTTCAGGGGATGTGAAGGCGGAAGGGAAGATGAGGATTGATAACTTCCAAAGGAAAGTGTCGGGCACTGGGCAATCCTGTTGGAGAAAAGCTGTGCCTGAGGAGGGTCCCATTCCAGCTTTGGTCCCTCAGCTGTGGAGTTAGGCAGAGTTATCCTCCCTGCTGAACTCACAGGGCAGGCAGGGAATCAGCTCTGCAGGCAGAACTGGCTCACACTGATGAGCATTTGCTGCCTGGGACAGCAGCGTGCCCTGCGGTGGTGGCAGCACACCCATCCCTGAGCGTCACCCAGCCAGTGTCCCTCTGACAGCCCTGCTATTAATGCATCCTTCTTTGTTCTTCTGACCACAGATCCTGGAGGAAAACATGAAGTTGGAGTGCAAGTGCCACGGGGTCTCGGGGTCCTGCACCACTAAAACCTGCTGGACAACGCTGCCCAAGTTCCGGGAGCTGGGCTACATCCTCAAGGACAAGTACAACGAGGCCGTGCAGGTGGAGCCCGTCAGGGCCAGCCGCAACAAGCGCCCCACCTTCCTCAAGATCAAGAAGCCGCTTTCGTACCGCAAGCCCATGGACACGGACCTGGTGTACATCGAGAAATCGCCCAACTACTGCGAGGAGGACCCGGTGACAGGCAGCGTGGGCACGCAGGGCCGCATGTGCAACAAGACGGCGCAGCAGTCCAACGGCTGCGACCTCATGTGCTGCGGCCGCGGCTACAACACCCACCAGTACTCCCGCGTGTGGCAGTGCAACTGCAAGTTCCACTGGTGCTGCTACGTGAAATGCAACACGTGCAGCGAGAGGACAGAGGTGTACACCTGTAAGTGAGCCTGCCCGGCCGCTCCTGGCCTGGATACATTTGCACATGCACTGATGGAACTGCGGGAAGAGCTGCTCTCCCCAGGAGATGCTCACCCACGGAGCCCTCTCTTCTCTCCTCACCTTTCGTTGCTTATGTGGATACACATTTCAGACTCTTATAAAGTCAGCCGAGAAACAAAAACAAGCAAACCCCTCCCCAGGCCACCAGAGACACGAAAGAGAGAGGAAAGGATCACCTCAGTGAGCTGCCCCTCGGGAGCCCCTTGCAGAGACACCGGCCAGGGAGGCATCTCTGGGGCTGGCAGCAGCTCTTGTTTGGGAAAGGGGTGCTCAAACACCTCTGTGTACGAGGAGCAGGGAGGGGTAGGGGGGAAATCCCTACAGAAGGGCTTTGCACAGGATGGGATGGACAGAGCCTTGCCGTGAATTGCTCTGGCATTGTGTGGATAACACAGATTTATCCACGCTCGTGAAAAGCTTCTGCTGGTCTTGCCCATCTTTCCACGTCACAGCACTTGCTGCAGCAAGAGGAACTGTGGAAGGGTTCTGTAGACACTGCTTTATCTGCCTTTCTCGTGTGTGTGTGAGCTGCAGATTTTAGCACAGGGATTTGGGACACTTGGGCATAATAATAACAATATTTAACAATTTATTCAGATAAAACTAATATTAATTTATTTAATTAAAAGAAGAACTTTACCAACCTTTCTGGAACTATTCTGCAATTAAAGTAGATAGCTGGCTTTCTTTGTGGAATAATTTTGTAGGATCAGCAAGGAAACACTGGAGCTGTACATATTATTCTTGACTAGGATATTTCTATTAGTTGGACTTGCAGGATATGTTCTGCAGTACTGGATGTTTAAGGACAAAAGCTGGCGTCTTTATATATATGTACATACACAAACACACTGTATTTGGGGGTTTTTGTTTGTTTGTTTCCTCCTGTTTGCTGCTAGTTGTCTGGAACAAAAGTGGAGTGGTAGGGGTTACAGATCTTTACCAGTTTTGCGTTTTGGTTTTTTTTTTCCTTCAATTAAAGAAAGAAACATTAATGAAATCCTGTTTGAAATATGTCTAAAAATAAGAAAATCCAGACAAAATTCCATCTTTTGGAAAAATCAACCATAGGATAAGAGAGTATATTTTGTAAGAGAATATTTTTATATAAATATTTTATTTATACTACATCTGCTTGTTCAACCTGTACTTTTTCTCAAAACAGGCATACAATTTGTAATTCTTAGGCTATTTAACAGAGAAAGGGTAATTAGTTTGTGAACACAACAGCAGCAAGCTGGATGCATTCAGCTGCAATTGGTGGATGTGTCAGAAAGCAGGATGAACTTTCTCTCCTGGCTCTTTTCCTGCAGCTCAGTTTGCAGAATATGCAAAACAAGAACAGGGTATGTAGCATCAATTTTGTCACATGGCTTGAATTCATGATTGGTATTAACTGGATGCTCATTTATCCCATTCAAGAAAAAAAAATCCGAATTAGCTTCCCACATGCGTCAGTCATTAAACTGTGGCGTTATGACTCGCAAATGTGCTGTGTGTGCTGTCAGTTAAACCTCTGCTTTGTGCTGCTGTCAAAGCTGATTCCCATCAGGGCAGGACTGTAGACTGGGACTGTAATAACTTGCATGACACACATCGTCTGATTCTCATAGATATGATACAAAGCTTACTTTTTGTCCAGCTCCTTTTGGCATTTACATTATTCTTTCCCCCCCTCTCCAAAGGCCAGAGCCCAAAAATACAGAAAAACATTTGGACGAGTTTAAAGAGGCAAATTTAAAGACTACTCACTTGTTTTTCCGAGCCCAACTAAGCTGTTTTGCATTCCCTTTGTGGTATTTCCTTTTTATCACTGCTGATTTCTTCAGACACTGGAGTAGTAAATATTTCTGTGCATTTAGAATTGTTCTGTTCCTACTGCTTAACTCATTTGTGGCTGATAAAAAACCATGTCTAATTCTAACGTTGTTTTTCACTGGGTAAGAAAGGTGGCCCAGCATTACAGATGATATTGCACATTGTCTGGGACAGATGAGGTTCTCTGCTCCTTCCAGACTGCAGGATCTCCCCAGTCAATGAAGCATCATGATGGGAATGTGTCACTGACTCCCTGCACAGCAGCAAGTGCCACCAGGGCCAGGTGAGGCACCTCTGTCCTGTGCTCTGCTCCTTCTCAGGCCAAACTCCCACCCAGCACTGTGAAAACAGAGAATTTCTGAGAAGGGAAACAGAGGCATCACAAAAGGTGCTGCAAAGTTTGACAACCTACCTGTTAGGACGTGGGTTTTAACTCATTCCTTGTATATATATTATTTAAGAACACAAACCCATGCAGTACCTAATCCTAGCAATGTGTATCAGGGGTTAATGCACAGTTTCTTTGCAGACCTGCCACTTAACACAAAATAGAATTTTTCTTCAATTCAGGCACCAGAATGGGGTATCAAAATAAAGTTATTAATGTAATTTACTTTCAATCTTATGACTTGTCAATTTTCATTGAGTTACTGCTCTTAGTCCTCCGCAATTCCACACAACTAGATTTAAAATGCAGCCACATACCATAGGGATGTTCATTATAACTCTGTATTAGGGTTAAATAATTCAGGTCTAACATTTAATATTGGAATCTTCCCCCCAGTTTGTAGTGGGCTTTGATATAGTGAATACCATATCATAGTTAAAATTGTGTTTTCCTCACTAATTAGAGTTACTTTACAAGTTATTACTTTTGCAGCATGTTTTTACCATAGAAAAGTAATGTGCAAAACTCCTGCTTCCTGTAAATTTCTATATGCAGTGACGTGCCACGTACAGCTAGCAGAATAATTACTGAAGGACAAATATCTTTAAACAGCTTTACTCACAATAACAAAAAACTGGATGCACAAGGAATTCAATTTGGTACACATTTTCCCTCTATTTTACAATATTGCTGATGAGAAAATGGAGAGAAGAAAAGGAAAAAAAGCTGTCAATTTGTTTAATAACTGGAATAACAGAGCAGGGAATTAAAGAGCAAGGAAAACCAAATGCTGCATTCAACTAGAAAGTATTTAGAAATTTGGCTGTGTCACCTCAGACAGGAGAAATCGGGCCCATCAGGATGTGCCCTGAATGTGGAGTTAATTGGTCATTGGCTAAAAGGGCTTGAATGGCCCGGAGAATAAACAGGAGAAGGGGGAAGATTTACGGGTGTGTGGAGATTCCTCCCCCACACCAGCTCGGCTTTGTGTTCGGGGATAGAGCAGCTCTGTTTTTACGTGGGGAGGGAGCTGCAAAGGCGCTGAAACGCACACAAGTGCGGGGCAATGCAGCCCTCAAAGGGAAATCCATCCTTTCATGTGTGCTGCCAGGGCAGCGCTGGGCACAGGGACAGCCCGGATGGGCACAGGGACAGCCTGGATGGGCACGGGAAACACAGGGGCAGGGGCAGGGACAGCAGGGGAAGCAGAAGGGGAAAAGCCTGGCTGCAAGTTGGGAACCTGTTTATTGTGGAATTTCCCATCCCCACCCCGTAGTGGAACCCCAGCTTGTGGAAATGGAGATGCTCTGCCTCAGGATTCCCAAGTAAGTTCTAAGGGTTTTACCTCTCAGCCTTTCTAAAAGGATAGTTAACCTGAATTGACTCAGCTTGGTACTAGAAGCACTTACATAAAACATGAATCAGCCCACGATTAAGTTTTCTTTGCCACGTATGCACAAAGCTAATGGAGATATGTCTTTCAACAGTGATAATTAAACTGAAAACATCCTTAAAATATACTCCTAAGTGGTTCATTTGATAAAGTTATTGTAAGGGGACACAGTAAATTAGAAAAGGCAAATAATGGCTACTAATCCACATAGCACAAGGCTCTCAATGAACTCTCCTGTGGATTACAAAACTCTTTTTAACTGACCACACTTCAAAATCAATTTGTTAAACAGAGAAACGTCACAGACTGCAGTCAGGATGCACAAATTCAAATTAGGATGCTGTATAACTATTTCTGACAATATTTTCACGTTTGTCATGTTAATAGACAAGGAAGTATGCACTGTGAATGTCCCAAATGTGCATATTAACCAATACTGTCCCTTGTCCCCAGCCTCTAACCAAAGGAGTCCAGGGAGCAAAAAGGTCTCTAAGTGTGAGCTGCAGGGTGGGGGTGGCTGGAAAACTGGATGTGAGTCAGCCCAGCCTGGCAGCCAGGGGGAACATCCCTGTCCTGGGGGCACCAGGCCCAGCATGGGCAGCTGGGCCAGGGAGGGGATTGACCCTCTCTGCTCTGCGCTGGGGCGGCCTCAGCTCAAATATTGTCTGAGGTTTTGGTCACTGTGATATAAAAAAGAGTGTCCAAAGGAGGGACACAGCATGGGGAAGGTGTGGAGGGGCCCTACAAAGAGTGTCTGAGGGCACTTGGTTTGCTCAGCCGGAGAAGGGAAGATTGAGGTCACAGCTCCAGGGGCTGCAGCTCCTCCCGAGGGGCAGCTCCAATCTCTGCTCTGGGACAGGGACAGCACCCAGGGAACAGCTGGAGCTGGGCCAGGGCAGGGTCAGGGGGGACATCAGGGAAAGGCTCTTCCCCCAGAGGCTGCTGGGGCACTGAACAGACTCCCCTGGGCTTGGCCATGTCCCCAAGGCTGCCAGAGCTCCGGGAGCATTGGGACAACACTCTGAGGGACAGCCAGGGTGGGATTGTTGGGGCGTCTGAGCAGGGCCAGGGGCTGCACTCGATCCCTTCCCATTTAGGACGTTCCACGACTCTAACTAGGAGACAGAAGCAGACATTTGTAAGATAAAGAAACAAAAGGCCTGTGACAGACAGGGTGCACTCCAGACATGCTCTGGAGTACAGAGGAAAAGCCTCAGGAGGAAAAGGCCTGGACAAATCAATGCATGGAAGGCACAGCAGAGAACAGGACGGGCTCAGCAGCATGGGCAGAGTGCAGCAAAGCTGAGCCTGCCTGCTGCTGCACAGCCCATAGAGCAACTTCATTCACATCAGGCCAAATCCAGAATATCTGTTCCCTGAAACCAGCAAGAAACCTGTTTTGTGAGTTGTGTCTCACACAAAAGTTTTTACCTAACAACTTTTCTTGTACACATGGAAATATGCACTATCGACATCACATACAGTGCATTTTTTAGCAAAAAACCCCACAGAGGATGTTAAATACCCATCACCTTGAGAAAGAAGTCAATGGAGAAAGACACAGAACCAGTAAAGGCAGT